TTGTGGGCTCCCCCAGGGTCTTATGCCTATGTGCCATAGGCTCCCCCACATGGTCTGATATCCAGCTGCCACGGGCTCCACCCGGGGTCTACGCATATCTAACCAATAAGGTACTAACACATTCATATACATACATACTAGGCATATCCATAATGATTCCATAATAATCATCATAACTAACTGAATGGGTCGGCCTTGGTGCCTTCGACCTATGGGTATGGTGAGGAGACTCACCTCAAATGCAAACTGTAACTGAGTAAGTCCAACTCCGAGTATAAGCTTTGCCACCTCCCTAATCATAAACAATTCCTTAGATACAACTCAACCCTTCAAACCCCTTAAAAGTCAACCCTGGTCAAGGTCAAAGTCCAGGTCAAGTCAAGGTCAAAGTTAACGCTCCGAGTTGACCTAACTCATCGAGTTATCCCTGTAACTCGTCAAGTCCATCCCAAAGCCAGAATCACGGTGTTGCGATCAAACTCGTTGAGTTCTCCTATAACTCGTCAAGTTACTCTGTTTTTCAATAGAATCGAGGTAACTCCAACCCAACTTGCCGAGTTCCCTTGTGAACTTGTCCAGTTCTTCATTCTTTCAACTCACTTAATGCATTAAGCCCTTCTTCTCGAATCCAAAGGTTCCAAACTTCAGATCCCCTTTCATAGAGATGTCTAGAAGGGTAAAGTTTCCAACTTTACCCCCTAATGATCATCTAATAAGCTCTAAACCCAAACCCTAGTTCCTTTAAGGAAGGTCTTGACTCATTAAGCTCTTGAACTCTCATCCCATCGTCCCAAAACATAGATATGTTGTTCAATGGTGGACAAATCATGTAAAGTTTCTTACTTTACGTCCATGCATGCTTGAACACTCTCCAAGGTCCATTTTAGGCTTCATAGTGGACATGTTGCATGAATGGGACATGGAGGCTAGTTTGCAACTTTAATCCTCTAGAGGTCTTATAGAGGCCAAATCTACACCCTCAACCTTTGGAAACCTCTTTTTTGTGGACATCCTCTAGAGGTCTTATAGAGGCCAAATCTACACCCTCAACCTTTGGAAACCTCGTTTTTGTGGACATCCAAGCCAAAGTCCCAAAACCAAGCCCTAAACTACAAAAGATGAGATCTAATAAGCTACATGTCAAGGTTATGACTTTATACCTCCAAGATGCAGCTTTTGATGTAGAGTTTCTGGATCCAAGATCTCTCTTCCAAGCTTGATACTTCTCAATTCAAAACCTCCTTCACAGATCTCAAACAATCACTCAATCACTCACAAAACTCAATGAACAATGAGGAAGGTGATTCTAAGGTTTTCTATGGGCAAGGGGGCTGGTAGGGAGGCCAACCCTAGGGGTTAAGTCCTTAAATAGGGTGCAATACCCGAAAAATTAAGTTTTTCCTTTCCAGTGCCAACTCGTCAAGTAGGTCCTCCAATCTACGTGGTCGGAAAGCTTTCTACTCGCCGAGTTGGAGCCTCCCAACTCATTGAGTTCCTTCCAATATTTGAAAATAATTAGAATTAATTCATACTTGGACCAAACGTTACAAATCGTCCCCACTTGAACTAGACTTCGTCCTCGAAGTCTGCTGATGCGAAAAGGTCTGAATAATGCTCCCTAGAGATGCACACAAAATCTGGATCCTCGAAATGAAACCGATCCGATCTGAAATCTGGTTTCGGTCAAAACCGGTTTTGACCAAACCAGATTCAAACCGGTTTGGCTTTTCGGACTCGAAATCGGATTGACCCCCGGATTACAAACCGGATTCTACAAAAACCGGTTCTTAAACCGTCGAAAAATTTGGTAAAAGCTAACAAAATTCGGATCAAATCGGATTCGGATTGTTGACCAGATTCGGATCAGATTTTGACCGGATTCGGATCGGATTGGACCATATCGGATTTGATCGAATCGGATCCTGGGTTTGTGCATCTCTAATGCTCCCTTATCTCATCCTCTGGTTCCCAGGTCCATTCGTAGCCTCTTCGGTGCTGCCATTGCACCTTAACTAGACTCACTTCCTTGTTCCGTAGGGCTTTCGTTTTCTGGTCTAAAATCGCTATTGGTTTCTCCACGTAATTTAGGCTCTCAGCAACCTAAGTATCATCCAAGGAAATGACTGCAGCCTCGTCAGCGATACACTTCAAGAGCTGAGACACATAGAAAGTGTTATGAATCTGACTCAGCTCATCTGGAAGGTCCAGTCGATAAGCAACCCTACCGACTCGAGCAGAAATCCTGAATGGACCAACAAATCGGGGCCCTAACTTACCCATCTTCCGAAACCTAATGACATCCTTCCATGGTGACACTTTCAGCAAGACAAAATCTCTCACCTGAAACTCGAGTTCCGATCGGTGCTGGTCAGCATTACTCTTCTGAAGGCTCTACACGACTCGCAGCCTGTTGCGTACGTGCTGAGTCAACTCAGTAGTCTTGAGCACCACATCGGTGCTTCCCATGACTCGATGCCCTACCTCGGCCCAACATACGAGAGTCTTGCACCTCCGACTATCGAACATCTCAAACGGGGGTTGGTCAATACTCAAATGATAACTATTGTTATATGAAAACTCTGCCAGTGGGAGGTATGTATCCCAACTCCCTCCGAAGTCCAATACACAAGCTCGAAGCATATCCTCGAGCGTCTGAATCATCCGCTCGCTCTGACAAACAAATAAGCCTATGAGGAAATACATCAAACAACTTATATACAAACACTTACAAGTTCCTGTTCTTCAACTTCATCAAGGTACCCGTTCAGTGAAACCGTTTGGTCAATTTCATCTTCAAATGCATCAACCATGTTTACCCAGAGAAATGAAAGGGTTTTTTTTCTACAAACGCAAAGATCAAAGCAGTTACTTGGAAACCTACTGCCCAATTTAAAATTTAGCATAGAAACTGGCAATTAACAGTATCCGAAAAAAAGCGAAGCCCTAGGTACCTGAATATAGCGAAAACTTTATAATTAAATAAAGGAATCCAATGATGCCTTGTAGATCACCCAACACGTAAGATAGTTGAAATTTTGTACATCACTAAGGAAGAAGATGTCGTGAATTTGAAGAAAACAAAAGCCCGGGGAGACAAGAAAGGAAAATCGATAGATCGTTGCGATGAAGAACATGAGAGAGTGATATAGGAGTTTAGAAAGATATAAAGAGAGCTTACAGAAAGAGAACGAAGGTGGTCTCCGAGGATTCTTCTCTGTAGTTTGTGGATTAGGGTTTCGAAGTGGCTGTTGGTGATAGAGACCGAGGACGGCTGTGTTCCGATGATGACAGAGGCGGAGATTGGAACCAAAGAGAGAAACGAACATGTATACAGCCTGAGGGATTGTTTGGTAGAGATCCGATTGCGGAAAAGTGTGTTTGATTGTGGTGTAGTGAGGGTAAATTATGCAGGAATGTTGTTTACATAGATACCAGAGAGAGAAGTGATGAGGGTAGAAACTAAGATTCGAGAATGAGGAAATGGAATAGTTCAAGGGATATTTGGCGAGATCTTAGGAGTTGAACGAAGACTCGATAAAGGATTAAGGGGATGGGTAAAACTGTTGAAAATACTAATTCAATCTCCGTTTAATTCTTAAAATTAAGGAAATACTAATTTAAAGGTTTTGATAATACTTGTATCCGTAGCATTATAATTTATAAGATAGATATTATAATATTATTATATTAATGACTGGTTGTACTTTAAACTAAAAGGCTTGAACATCTTAAAAAATATTATTATTATATTCAATCTATTTATAGAAATAGTAAGATTTCTTTTATATATATATATATATATATATATATTATATATATATATATATATATATATATATATATATATATATATATATATATATATATATATATGGGAAAATGGAATATACATTACAGCCCCACCTAAGCTTAGGTACTAAACCTTTTGAAAATACATTGTTTTACTATATAAAGATTACGGTTAATGGATTCACGACTAATACTTCAAGATGTAAATTAAAGATCGACACAATAGGGTTTAGGGTTTAGAGTTTAGGGTTTAGGGTTTAGGTTTATGTTTAGGGTTAAGGTTTAGGGTTTTGGGTTAGGGTTTAGGGTTTAGTGTTTAGATTTAGGGTTTAGGGTTTAGCTTTAGTGTTTAGGGTTTAAATTTAGGGTTTAGGTTTAGGTTTAGGGTTTAGTAATGTTCACTTGGATGAAGTAATAAACGATAATTAAGCAAAAAAAAACGAAGATGATAAAACGATAATGAAAGAAAGAAATGTTATGGAGAATGATATATTTACCAAGTGAAACCAAATCGGGTATATTTAGCATGTTAAAACGACATATTTTAGAGGTTTAGTACCTAAGCTTAGGTGAGGCTGTAATGTATATTCCTCATCCCATATATATATATATATATATATATATATATATATATATATATATATATATATATATATATATATATATATATATATATATATATTACAAAAAATATAAAACCATAACGTACAAGTGTATGTTGTCAAACATCATGACATACAAAATATTCGTCGTGATTTTGAGTCGTAAATGTCTGTTGAAAACGCATGTCGTGTATGTCTGTCTTAATTGTAGGTCATAAGTTTGTAGACATTTAAATGTCTGTAAAATTTATAGAGACCAAATGCCTCTCATTTTTTTATGACATGACTTTGAAATACAGACATGTCTCACGGATATGCATTTACCACAACGATTAGTCAAGGAAATCCTTTTTTCTAATAGTCTAGTGATATAATTATGGTTCAACGTAGATTTGTTTCCTACGTACACAATCTGGTAGCTGGGAATGGGCAAGGGCTCAAATCCTTGAGAAAAAGTGAGTAGTTTACAACTCAGGTGGGGTGTATATAGCAAAAAAAAAGATGTTTTCCATTCATGTAAAAAGAACGAAACCAGACCATAGTCGAATTAAATAATTAGTTGATAAATAGAACTAAAGGTAGGGAAATATATACCTCCCCCTTCCTGTTTTATGCAGTTAGATTATTTAAAACTTGATGATGCTGAATCAGGCAACCATCATCAACGTTCATGTGGATGTCTAGCATTTTCACGACTCCATTTTTCACATCATAATAGCACATACCATTATAGTATTTACATTCCAGGATGATATATCTGTTACTCATCACACCACAGACAGGAAATCTTCTGTAATACCATTTCTCAAGAGTAACCGACTGCAACTTCTCCCACTTCTTCTTCTGAAAATCTTTAAGAATCCATATCTCAGATTTCTCCGCACTATCTCCTGCAAAGAGAGCCAGGGAACCACCCATCTCAAAAATACTATAGTCAACTCCTTTACAATCACCGGGAAGACTCATATCGACAATTTCCTCTTTCACCATATCCATGGAAACCAGTCGCTTATCAATGTAATTATCCCAGTGAAAGTACCTTCCTTGAACTGAAACAGGGTTAGAAGAATACATCGACCCTCCATTTATACAAGGAACATGGATCTTTTTCCACTTTGAAGAAGCAATATTGTCGCTTCTCAATTTAAGGATATGACATTCGATTGGTGGCCCCATAAACAAGTGAACCACCTTATATATTCCCTTGAACATATGGAAAGAAATTGCAACTCCACATTTGATAATACAATATCCTCCACATGATGCATTACATTCGGGAAGATATGATCCTTCCTTCGTGATTAGATTATAAATATACAGAGATTGTTTTTTATAATCTGATATTAGCATTAGCTCGTTACCCCAAGACTTTATGATGCCTATGCGAGGTATGTCAAGATCTTGCACTTTCACTTGTAGCCCTTCTCCTTCTTCCCTTATATCTACATGACGTGTTGTCAAGTTTCCCGTCTTCTGGAGGATAAAAGAAACATGGTCTAGCAATTTCATGTTGATGATTAGATCCAACCATCGTTTACAGACGTACTTAGCCTTATAACGAAGGGAAGCATCAGGGAGCCTTTTGAGGATATCTAAAAGGATGTCATCCGGAAGAAACACAAACCCGTCAATCTTCTTTCTCTTTCTTTTCCTCATCGTCTTCTCATCTTCAGATTCTTTCTTTGAGACGCTCGTTTCCATCTCGATCGACTTCTGTTTCAAAATATTACATTCTCTTGTAAAATGTTTCACAAGGAAGAGATAACTACGCACAAGGGAACATGCATCAATTTTGTGTATACTTATGGGTTGAAAATGAACTCTAGCTGTAACAAACAAAAAATTCAATCCAACCAATATGTTTTTACTTCGGATCAATAAAAGTAATGTTTATAAGCAAGATTGTTACATTCTAAAATGTTAAAAAGAAATAAAATAGAAGTTTTTAAACTTTTACTAGATAGATGTATCCGATTAAAGTCTTGGGGTAACACCTCTTACTGTTTGTTAATTTCCAAACAGAGTTCTAAAGTTATAACCATGAGTTATATTACATATAGAATCTGTAATTACTTACTACATCCACAATCCACAATTCATTGAATTTTATAGAGTTTAATAAATTGATACATAGTTTTTTTACATTCCATACAACTTTGTCAATTTCTTTTTATAAAATTAATTTATAGTATATATTTAAGAATTAAACACTTTTCTTTTTCCACTGAAAAGTTCAAATCCATTAAATAACAAATTGGCCTCTATGAAGTTTAATCAATTGAATGAAAAATAAACTTGTTACCTTATTCAACTCCTCCATTGTACTAAACATTGTGGATGCTCTTAGCCACACTCCATTGATCGGATTGCAGTCAAGACTCGGGCGCATATACTGTAAGGCTAAATACGAAACGAAATTGCAGACTATAAATTACGATATGATTTGCGTCGAACTGCATGCACGTAAGAAACCACATTAATGAAATTGACACAAGTATATATGTGATGAGACTAGAGAGAAAACCTGTAGCGCGCTAGCTTTAATAATTGATAAATGAGTAGATCGATGATTAGAGTTAGGTTTCGGTGAATAATAGGCAGAAAATGAAGGGTTTCTAGCGTTTAACGTTTAATCTCGCAGAAACGATTGTAACTATAGTCAGTAGATGTGGGGTTTTTTCATGTTCTTTACTGACGAGAATCAAAGTCTATAATCTACTATGGCTAGCATAGTTTTTTGGAAATATTTTATTTAATAGAAATATATCACGCAAGCTTTTCTAATAAATAGAGATCTTTTAAGATTCTCTTTAATTTATATATTTATTATCGTATATTTAAAAAATGATTAGAGATCCCTTAAGATTTCATTCTTAATTTATATATTTATTATCATATATTTTAAATTTAATAATATCTTATATCATTGCAAGAATGCAATCCTAAACTGACGGCATTTTTAATCCTTTGCCGCCAATAAGTCATCTGTAAAGCCTATGCCGACTTTCAAAACCCGATATCTAAAAATTCAGATATCCGAAAATTTCGAATAGTAGATTTTGGTATCCGAATCCGTATCCGAATGAATTCGGATATCCAAAAATTTTGTATTTTTTCATCAAACTAAATAAGTGGTGCAACATTTGAGTAACAAAGATCTAAAACCATTTTTCTTACTTTAAAATTACGAAAAAAAAATGAAAGAAATCAATTAATACAATATACTGTAGCAAGAGATGATTTATTGATAAAGATTTTCTAATATATGCACTAAGAACACATATAAAAAACATTAATTGAAGTATTAATTATAACAAATATTACCATAATTAAATGTGATAACCATTAATTATGTATAATATTACTTTAATTAAATATAAAATACATTAATTATAAAAAATATTAATTATAATTAATGTTTATCACATTTAATTATAGTAATATTTCTCATAATTAATACTTCAACTAAAACATGTTAGAAAATCCCTTTCATTCTACTTTGTTCTACACGGATACTACCAACCATAAAGTATTCTTTCTATTTTCTTACATGTAATATAATAGCCATAAACAGTGCATATCTTGATGAAATGTAAAAATCTATCATAAAGTGGTCAAACATGACCACATTACTTCGTGGGATCAATTAACTAAATGCATATTTCGATTAATTAAAGTGATAAAGCTATTTTGTGATCAATCATCCAATGTTAATATGTTAGCATACAAACAACAATATATATATATATATATATATATATATATATATATATATATATATATGTAACTTAGACGAAAAAACTATTTAGTTAGTTTAGTGTAGCCTTTTTTTGTTTACAAAAAACAAATAAAAGAACGTTTACAAATAAAAAATAAAAGAAAAAAAGAACATACTTTAGGTATCGTATATTTAAAATATCAAAAAACTTCATAAAATTCCTACAATAAAATAAATTTTGAATAATTTAAAGTGACCCTTTTCATTTTCAATAAATAAATAAAATAAAAATATCCAAAATTTTCGGATATCGGATATCCAAAAGATCCGAAAATCTGTAGAATTGATATCCGTATCCGAATTCGAAAAAACGGATATCTGAATTTCGGATATCCGGTTTTCCAGATAATTTCACTTCACATTTTTCGGATCGGATTTTCAGATTCAAATGTTTTTGAACACCCCTAATGCCAACGACATATTTTCAGTAAAAAATCGTTGGTATAGCTCCGTCGCTATAAGTGGAATAGATGTCGTTGGTATAGGTCAACCAATCCTGATGACTTGTCGTCTGAAAATGGTCGTTGGAAGTGATTTTCGAGAATTTTTTTTATTATATTCTTTAACAGACGACTTGTCGTCGGTATAGAGGCAACTTGTACGATGATTTGTCGTCGGGAAATGTCAACCTATTCAAACAACTTATCGTCGGGAAATGATGGTAACCCTTGTTTTCATTTGAGCTTTAGCGACGACATGTCGTCGGTATAAGTCATAACCCTTTTTACAGTATGACTTATACCGACAACATGTCGTCAGTAAATCTTTTTTTTTTTTTTTTTTTTTAATTTTTCTAATTACGTTTTTCACAAATTTTATTATATATACACAACATGTTTAAAAAAAACAAATTTAACCATTATATATGCAACATAATGTGAAACACTAAATATTCATAACAAACAATCAAAATTCTAATTCAAGATCTACTATATACCAAAATAACAAAAAAACGAAGTCTTCAACAAACAATGTTTAAATTAAAAATAAAAGGTCAATCACAATCTTCATTGTTCTCCTTGGTCTCTTTGGTTGGTTTGGAGGTATTTTGTTGAAACATATTAAGATTGAATGAAAATTGTGGCATTGTTGGTGGTTGGAAGTTAGGAATTACGGACGCGAATGAGTTATTATACGTTTGTTGCATTTGTTGCATGTATTGTTGCATTTGAGATTGCATTTGTCGTGTTGATGCAACAACTTGGGGATTAGTCGTATTTTGAGATTTGGCTTTCGAATGTTTGGAATGTTGATTTGGAATTAAATGATCGTTGCTGCTTGGTTTCCTTCCAACGCTGCAAACATATTTGCTTCTCTTACCGAGGGCACGAATGAGACAATGTTCTTCATTTAAGTGTTCACCCTCCCTGAGCTTTTCTTGCATCTTCCTCTTCTCCCCTTGAATCTTTTCCTAAAATAAATAAAACAATAAATATACATTAGTTAAAACAAATAACTAAATTTAAACACTAAAATAATAATAATAATACACCTTAAAAAACTATAATAATAATAATAATAATAATAATAATAATAATAATAATAATAATAATAACATATTTACCAAAGAGCCCATAACTTTGTTTATTACTTACCCAATCTAATTCCTTGCGGTGTAACTAATTCTGGCCTTCTTTAAAGTGCATCTCTTTCCAACCTTAGATATTTCGCAATTTTTCACATTTTGCAACCTATAATAAGCCAAAAACAATTAATATATTTATATAAGTGTTAATAAATTTTTTATATAATGCAAATAAATTTAATTACCTCATCACAACGTCTATTTGCATATAATCTACTACCATGAGCACTTGTATGTGGAAGTTTGACCCTACATTATTTACCTGATACCGACTGATTTCTATAACCCTCATTCAAAAGAAGAAGATCATCATGTAGTTCCAGGCTTCATTGTCCAGTTCTTCTGGTGGATTTTTACTTGCACCTTCCACATCATCATACACGCCAACTTCGTCAAAATAGTTTTTCAATTTATGTTTGTGTTGTTTATAAACTCGTTGGCAGTCAACATTTACAGCCTCTTGAACACATACCCACAATCTCATAGTCCGGTACATATCAAGATCAAAATATGTATGCAACAAAAAAAAACAAATTTAATTAGTAAAAAAATATTTAAAAATTATAAAAAGTTTTACATATAAAAAGTATTGTGTGCTTACTTCTATCTCAAGATACATAAAAAAAATTAGGATAGTTTGAAGATATCATAACACTGTCAAAAAAGTAGTTAACTGATCAAAAAGGTTACGATTTATAGCCTTTCATCTCATCCTCATCATAGTTGTTTAGTACAAACCAATGCAATGATTTGTTAGCTTTTTTTATAAAGTTCGGTGAGCATTTAGTGGACATCGGTTGACATTGTGATGAGAACAAAAAAATTCCTTTTTGGAGGATCCTCATTTCTATAAACACGATTGAATTTGTTTTGCATACCTTCAAGATACATAGAACATAATTTCAAAGCTTCGTCTGCAACATAACCCTCTGTTATTGAACCTTCTGGCTTGGCTTTGTTTCTAACATAATTTTTAAGTTTTTTCAAGTATCTTTCAAAGGGATACATCCCTCTCATGTGTACAGGCCCTTCAAGAATGGCTTCTTTAGGTAAATGAAGAACTAGATGAATCAATATGTCGAAAAATGCTAGAGGATATATCAACCCAAAATTGCATAATATTTTCACCACTTCTGATTGGGCTTTTCTCATGTCACTAACATCTAAGGACCGTGTACAAATCTTTTGAAAGAATGTACATAAATCAATGAGTGTTGTTGAAACATTTATTAGGAGACATGCTCGAAGCCTTATAGGTAGCAATCAGTGCATGAGGATGTGATGACTGTGAGACTTTAGCCTAAGCATATTTGATTCAGTATCATTCACCTTCCTCTTAAAGTTCGATCCAAACCATCCAGGTAGTCTCACTCCTTTAATGAATTGATGATAACGTTGTTGATTAATTGGTTTGAATGAGTAATCAACATGTGGTAGTATTACTTTTTTCTTGTTCTTGTTGTTGTCTTCCTTTTTCTTGCTGACTTTCTTCCTCTTGTTGAATTTTTCTTTTGGCCATTGATCTGGCTGAATTCCCATATTTTTTAATTCATTTCTTGCTTCTTTTATGTCTTTGGTTTTTCCATTAACCAATGCAATATTCAACACACTCTCATCCACATTTTTCTCCACATGCATAACATATATATAGTGTTTTAGTTCAAGGGAAGATCAATACTCATCCTCAAAGAAGATACTCCATTTCATCTAATTCGACAACTCTTTTTTTTGCTTCATCAGTGCGCCTTCTTTTTGCACCCCCATGCTTAGGATGTTTTCTTAGAGTATGATTAGGGAGACGAGCCAGTTGCTTTCATATAGATGCATTACTGAATTGTCTTGGACACGGTCTTCTCTTATGTTGACCATTAAATAACAAACTTTACCTCCAACTATGAATCATATGCAAGAATCGTCTGTGACCAACATAAGACATTTGTTGGTCACATGAATGGAAGATGTGTCTGCGTTACAAGTAAGGCATGCTAAATAACCTTGACCACTTTATCGATAAAAACTAATACATGTTGGGAAATCATTGATAGTCCATAACAACATCACACACATATTGAATGCAGTGTTGGTTGATGCATCTATCATTTGGACTCCTTCGGCCCACAACATTTTCAACTCATACACCAAAGGCCTCAAGAAAACATCAATGTCCTTTAAGGGTGATCTAGGGCCATGAATCAGTAAAGTTAGCATGAAAGAAGACTCTTTCATACATATCTATGGTGGTTTATTGTAGGTAGTCCGTATAACCATCCAAGTACTATAAGTACTATTAAAGTTGTCGAATGG